AATGAAAGTAACTTGAGATTGATTAGTGGGTACTATTCATCAGAATGAGATGTTGATGCAAGCTTGTTTAGATAACCACTGCAAATTAATCAATTGAGTTCTTGCTCGTAATTTGTATGTCATTGTCAACTTTACTTCCTTTGGTTCTCTGTTTTTTTTATTATTTTTAGGTTTATGGATTTTCCTAATATGCCAACTTTATTTATTTCTTTTAGGATATGTCCATTTTAGTTATTTTGATTATCAATCGGTTTCAGTATATAAAATCATTTAGTTTTCGATTTTTGGTTTGATTACTATATATATCTAATCGAATTTATTTTTAAGTTCAAAATAGTTAATTTGATTTGTAATAACCGAATCTAAACCGAACCAAATTTATTTAATTCAATGTAGATTGATTATTATACTATTTAATTTCGGATATAGATACCGTAAAAATATATTTCGAACTGATTCGGTTTGGTTTGGTTTGATTAACCTATTTGTAGGTTGATGGATTTTCTAATACTTGATCATTTAAAATTTAAGGATCAACTAAAGAAATATGGTAAGGAGGCAGTAGTAACATAGTGCCCTACATGTAAGGGATTGATTGATCCTTCTTTTTATTTTTTAATTTTCTTTAAATACATATACATTTTTCAAATTGATCCCTCTTAAAATTAGGATTAAACCCTTGTTATTATATTTTATTATATATTGACTCTAGAAATTAATTAGGAATTATTTTTAAATTCCTAATTAATTGTTTGGTTAGTGCAAAACAGAGGAAAAAAAGAGAGAAAATGCTAGAATCCTAAATAGAGAAAGTGACAGAAATTGGAAGAAATTGTTATTTATTTATGAAATGACATAACCACCCAAAATACACAACATGATTTTGGAGATGCATTCTTAGCAGCAGACTTTTCAACATCTAACAAATTATAATGGGTATGTTAGAATTAAAATTATATGAATAAATTATTAAGGATAAGATTATTAAAAAAATTATTTTAAAAAATTGTCACTGTATTATTATTTTTTTTTTCCAGTGAACGGTCACCAACGCCATTGTTTTAAAAATGTTTTTTTTATTAAATATAAAATATAAAAGGTTTTCGAAACTTCAAGCTGAGACAACCACAACCTAAGCTTAGGGCTTTTTCTTAAAGTTGGATTTGAATTGTCAACTTTTAAGTCTTCTTCAAGTTGACTTCTACTTACTCAAGAGTTGAAATCTTTTTCTTTTTCTTTTTTTTTTTTTCTTCTCAAAACCTTAAGCTTTTAACAAGTTAGGTTTTTTAATAAACATTTCCTCTTAGTCTCGTCAAAATTTTAAAGTGATTTATGAATTTTAAATAATTTCTTATGTCAAGAAAAAACAAATTCAATGACCATATTTTTTAAGGCTCAACAGTATATGATAAATTCAACTGAGCTGAACTAATCTGATGAATTTGATTTTTCTTTTAAAAAAAAAATAGCCAAAAAATTTTTTTTATTTACTTTGATTTTTATTATACAAAATTGAAAAACTACAAAGCATAAAAATAAAAAACATGTATTGAAAAAGAAAATCGAATGAGTTGAATTTGATTTGCTTTAAAAGAAATTTAATTCGATTCAATTTTATACATAAAATTTTAATTTATTTAGTTTATTCTGATTTAATCCGTTTAAACAAAGCCGACCAAGTGTTGACTTGTAATAATTTCTATGCTTTCCTTGGAGTAACCTAGAATCCAGACATTCATGCTACGAGAAAACAACAGTTGAACTGCAAATGCTGACTTGTTTGTACGCACTAGAAGGTAATTGCTCAAATGCAATCGAACCACTTTTCTTGTTCTTGATATATATAATATACAGTGTAGTGCAATTCACTGCCTCTTGATTCTTGAATGCTTCAAGACACAGGCCATTAGCTTAACATATATGTACATCCATCCAAATCTCTTTTTGCCAAAATATTTTTAGCTTTTTCTGTAATAAGGCCTATGTGGCTCTCATTTTTCTGGGACCCATCCCATAAGACACATCATGTAGGTTAAAATAATAATAATAAAAAAAGAATTAAAAAAGCATTCTTAGCCATCACCCCCCACACTACACCGCACGAATTATCACTGTGTGGGATACATTCTTGTTTGGCACTAGACATCAAGCTTTACTGTTATAGTCAACCTAATTAACTTAATTATGACAAAAACTGTCTCAGACTTTGCAATCTCGTTGGATTTTTTTCTTAAATCTTACTCCTCTCCGGTCGAAAATATAAATAGTTTAAGATTTTTACATAATAATTAAGAAAATAATTAATTTTTATAGATTATAACAAAATCAATGATAAATTGACTAAATGATTCTTTTATCTTAAAATCAACATCTACTCGTCAAAGTATTTATTGTATTTAATGTAAATAAAGGTAATATTGGAAAAACATTATTTATTACTCCTTAAAATATTAAAAACAATTTATATTTTGGGACAAAATAATTACCCCAAAACAATTTATATTTTGAGACAGAAGGAGTTATAAAACATAAATATATTTACTTAGATGGTAGTTAGGAGGCATTCCGCTTTCATGGTAAAAGACTGTTTGATGAGATGAGATACATGAAACATTATTGACCAATTCAAATTATGATAATCTTACGTCTTAAACTATAAGACATGCTATTTTCTATATATGTTTATATATTATAATCATTTTAATAAAATTTTCAGAGAGAACAGACATACATATAAGATAAAGACATTATACATATTTTATCATGAAATTATTACAATTTTGACAAAACACATTAACTGATTTGTAAATTTGCATACTCTGAAAGCGATAAAAGAACTTTTAAACTCTTGTTAATAAAGTAAAGAAAATGGGATACGAGTATAAAAGAAGAAGTCAATATTGTTTAGAAGCAGCCAGCTAAAAAGTTTTGCATGCACCAGCACCAGGGTAGCTAGGTAATATATATATGTGTGTATGTAGTAGCAGCAGGGTACCCCACCCACGTCTGTCTCTGGGTAAGGAAAGGAAAGGAAAGGAATTATCCACCAAGAGGTTGAGCGTGTAATGTGTGTAGTTTGTGGGAAGGGAATTGAAGGGCCCTTCCTCTTCAAAGGACCTCTTGTTTTTGGGGAAGGATTGAGGGCTGAGGGCCCTTCTCCCTTCTTTAAGTGCCTTTCAGAGTTGAATATTCCACATATCATTACTTCCACTATAGAAGCATTTTTCGTTTTCTTTAGGATTGTTTTTCCCTTTTTCATTCAAAGCTAGCTCTTCTTTCTTATAATAAGTCTTTCCATCTTATCTTTCAACAAAATTTGGATTAATTATTGTGATTATAATATGTGAAAATATATGTTTTTTTTCAATCAAGAAAAATCATGTGTAAATATAATACATTAATGGTGGAGAGTATTAAAATGAAAAGACATAAATCTAGAATCACATGAAAAATTCATTTTTTCTTCACATTAATACGGACTTAGTTATGACTAAAGCTGAATGAAAATAAATAATTTATACAGATGATCTAAATTAATTTGGAATTAGGGTTTAATTAATTGTTGTCGCTGTATAGTTATTTTGAAGTTTTAAATAAATATTAGTATTTAAAAATATTTTTTTAATCAATCAATTGAAATATATAGCAAAGACTTTGGTTCTATTAGTCAATAGTCAATACTATGTTGCTCTCTTGGACTTATGCATTGCATGAGTGTAAAACATACAGCAGTCTGCATGCAGAAATTTCTCTCTGATATAGAAATGGATGTGAGATGTCCCAACCCAACTCTCTCTCTCTCTCTCTCTCTCTCTCTTCTCTCTTCTCTCTCTCTCTCTTCTCTCTCTTCTCTCTCTCTTCTATATTATATATATATATATATAATATAGTGCCAAATGATACATAATTTTATAAAATATAAAAAATTATCGAATTATATATATATATATATATATATATAGTGCCCAAATGATAACATAATTTTTATTAAAATATAAAAAAATATCGAATTTAAGCTCTTAATCTTTTATTATGAAGCAAAAATTTGATCATGTTCTCTGCTGAAAGTGTGATGTGAAATCATCTATCCACTTGCTTTCCGATTTACATAACAAAAATTGCATTCTGCAAGATGAAAACAAGAAATTCCCAAGCCCTAACTAGTGGTCTGAAGTAAGGAACCAAACTATAATAAAGAGGTCACTCAAAGCATAAATGGTGATAAAAAATAAAAACTACAATTAGTTACACCCATATTCAAACCCAAAAGCTTAAGCTAATGGGTGATGAGTTCGAAGATTTGTATCAACTTTCTTTGAAGATGAAAAGAATCTTTAAACACTCTTCGACACACATTAATTATTAAACTTGGTTATTGAGATGGTGGATTAGAACACAAATTAGGGAATGTGGAGCTAATTCTGATACCATTTTAGAACATTCAAAAGCTTAAGTGAATGAGCAGTGAGAGCTGAAAACCATTTACCAGTTATGCTCTTCTATTTTTTTGATTCAGTAAGAGGCTTAAAGTCATGTTCTATTTAGTTTTATGTCAATATGAAATCTTTCGGTCTAACATCTAACAAGATTTTAAGTTGTGTATTCATTATTCAATTATTACATAAGTTAATTCTTTTCTTTTTCATAAGAAAAGGTTCCAAATACTTCTGTGTTATAGACAAATGATCTTCCTTTTTTTTTTTTCTGTAAATAATTTTTTTATTTATTTTTAATTAACTAATCAATAAAATATAGAGTACGGATGCAGGCACCTGGGTCTTCTGAATCACTAGTCTTGTTCACCTTGGACAAAAGACACACATTAAGTCATTAACCATTGTCTATTGGGTGCTTCCCCACATATTTATATCTAACTATTTAATTTAATTAAGCCAGATAATCTGGCATTAAACCAAGAATTATCTCATATCTACAGCTCGTTTAACTGATAGTACTAATTAATATTCTAACCATCGCCCATAAAAAGCACTATACGAAAGGACTACGAAAAATGAGAACAAAATTATATAAGAAATACACTTTATCAAGAATCTATCCGTTTCTTGATAAAGAATCTCAAACACATTGAAGGACTTAAAAATAGTTGCACTACATAATTAAGTCTAACCCTTCATCACTTTCTTTCAAACAAGAACATGAAATGATACTACTCATTATTATCTACCATTGCAATTGCATTATTATTATTATTATTTGCTTGGCCTAACAAACTGCTTATTGACCGAGCTTTGACTACGCCAAGCTTCATCTTCTTCTTGGAGATCGTCAATGGCTTTTTATCATCATTTCCTTTATCTTCACCATCTAGCTCTACCATATCTTTTCGTTCTTTATCCTCTTGTGGTGGCAATGGAGATAAAGCACACGAACTTGCCTTCTTCGCTGCGCTGCTGGCCATGGATCGGTTGCGAACACTAGTCATACTTCTTAGTCTTCCTTTACCCAAATGGTGTTCGCAGAGAGAGTATCCAACAAGAGTTTGTTGACAACATCTCCATCCTCTTCCATTGACACGACTACAGCGAGACCCCTCCATAAGTGCACCACCTCTAACCTTCTTTTTGCTAGTACTAGTATTACTCTCTTTGATTTCCTTCTCTTCTTCTATTTCTTGATTATTATTATTATTGTCACTGTTGTGTTGAAGCTGGCATTTCTTGTTCATTTTTGTCTTCATTTTCTTTTCTTTTGTTTCTTCTTCTTGCTTCGATCTTTCCAAGTTCCCCCTTCTCTTCTTTAATGGAAATGCTTTCTCTCCCTCACACCATCTCCCATCTATATACACAGTGCAGCAAGAACAGCAATAAAGAACACTGATATTTTTATGGGATTACTCTAAACATTCAATTTCTAACACAGAATTTGTCTACCTTGATGAGAAGAATTTGATTCTTGAAACACCATTTCTGTTTCTGTTTCTGCATTAAATAAACTTCCTCTCCTAAAAACAAACCAGACCCAGAATTAAAGATTCACAACAACATAGATCAAATCATACTGACAAGAAAAAGAATGCAAGCAAAGAAAATGACGCGAGAGTGCAAGTATACATATACAATATATATAGAGAGAAAGAGAGCAAGATGCGTATATTATGTATGGGGACCAGCATACCATGCTAACATGCACCGCATGAGCATCTCTTATTAGGTAGCCAAAAAATAGATAGAGAGCTAAAAAAATAAAAATATAAAAGAATTACTAAAATTGAATTGTTATATGGGACTGCAAGGCATGGTGTTGTATAGCTAACACTCATAAAGATGATTAAAGAACACCTAATTAAAATTAAAAACAGTATTTTCCACTAACTGTATTGATTTTTTCTTTGCTGGTAAAATTATTAATTTTCACTTTTTGGCTTGTTTTTTACTACAAGATTTCATGAAAGAAAAGAAGAAGATAGATTTTAACTTTATTCTTTCTTTCTTTCTTTCTTACCTGGTATAATTACTTGTTTCACCATCTCTTCCTCCCTCATCTTTCTGCAACAACAATTTCAAGAATCACAACAAATTGAAAGATCCACTCAATTAGATAACTTTATGGTTAATGCAACTCTAAATCCAACAAAAACGTCTCCCTACGTCACACTAAGCACAAGTGCAACTAATTATTCTTTAAAAATCAAGAAATTATTTCACTAACCGGCGAATCTTTTGCCTCCTTCTTGACTTCCTCTTGGTAGGGGTTGTTTCCATCTCCGATCGGTGGATTAGACGAGGAAGGATTAAAGTAAGCAGCTGTGTCATCTTCTAGTTGAAGTTGCACCACCGGTGACCGGCGCAAGTTGGGATCTGAGAGAGGTACCGGAGAAAGAGAAGAAAGAGGAAACGGTACCTTTCTTTTTCTGATCCTCATCGGTGCAAGAATCAAGAATAGATTTGTAGGTTCTCAGGCAAAGATTTGATGATCGGAAAATAAAGAATAAAGAAAAGAAGAAAGATTTAAAAAACAGCAATCGAGAAGTGAAATGATCCTTGAGAGAGAGAGAGAGAGAGAGAGAAAGAAAGAGAGAAAGAGTGTAAAAACACAAACACTACTACTACTATAATAACACTAAGACCAAGAAAAATGTTTATCCTTTAATAAGTCTTTTGTGTGTTTTTATTTTTAATTTTCTTCTCTCTCTCTAACTTTTATTTGTTGCACCAAAGAAAGGAGGGGAAGGGAATAAGAATACTACTGTTAGACAAGGAGAAGGGGAGGGGGGGAAGGAGGGTATGCACGTGCGGAGGAGCACGTGTGGGGAGAAACTGGCTGAATGGGTAGCAGGTGAGAGAGAAAAGAGAATCAAGGAGAAGAAGGAGACAGGGTACGGACGAGGAGTGACAGGGTGGAAGAGAGAGAAGAGAATACAAAATGATGGGAGTGGGTAGTTTTATCGTTTCTACTTTTTAGAAGGAGAGAGAGTGGAGTGGGTCCCATCCCCACAACCTCCTTCTCTCAACTCTCAACAACGACCCAGATGCTTATACATTTTGTGTGTGTGTTTGTAATCCTTCATTATCCATTTAAATTTTTTTTTTACCCCTAATAATAACTGTGTGGAAATCTTTTTTTAACTGTGTGACTGGCTCTACACTCTACCGTCTACTCTTCCTTATAATTTTTTTCTACAAAATATTTTTACTATTTTAATTTTATATTATGTTTTAATTATATCATTTGTTTTAAGAAAATCTTTGAAAAAATAATAAATTTGATTTTATTATTACAAATAATCAATAATAAAAATTTTAAATTAATTTTATAACATTTTATTTCTTTTAACTAAAAAAAGAAAATTATGGATAATGTTTTTGAAGTTTTTGAATTAAAATATAATTTTTTTTGATACTCCATTTTTATTTTTTATTTTTTAAGAAAATAAAAAATAAAAAACAGAACTAAGTAAACATGTTCTAAGTTCTCACTCCCGCTCATCTTATTTTTTAATATTTTTAGTTAAAAATAATTATAAATGAATTTAAAATGAATACAATTAAATGAAATCACTGATGGTGATGGAAAATAAGATATGAATTTAATCATTGAATATTTGTTATCCATGACCTATCATAGATTCAATTGTGGGTACTTATAAACACCTTTACATTATTATTTATTACTATTAAAAGAGTAGTTTAAATAGTTTAAAGGGGATTTAAAATTTATAGATATGCTAATCGTACTTTTAAACAATTTTGGAATGGAGAAAAGATAAAATTATTAACAGATTCGTACATATCTATTTGGAGGATGTCGGATTCAATTCATTCATGCAAATGATAGCTGATTCATATCTAATAACTAAAATTATAGGTGTTTGTAAAAATTTTAATTAGCAGTTGATAGCTTATAGAAGTTCCGGTCAAGAAAATATTACAGAATTAAAAGTGGCTCTAGTTGATAATTCATCAACTACAATTTGGAATTTTTTCGTAACAACTAGTAGGTATTTTGTATGGATTATACTTATTTAAACTATATCCTTGATCCCATTCATGAACCAACCCAATAAAATAAATATCTTTAAAATTACTTTTAATTTTTATTTTTTTTTAGTATATGGTCAGAAATATCATCGTTTCAACAAAAATTCATATTTTTATTGGTTTTCGTCTATGGGTGAAGCTGTGGACTCGATCTAGGCAAATCAATCATAATTGGTATTTATATTATATTTGTAATCCTAATATGTAATTATAAAAATAATTACTAACAGCATTTTTTTTAGATTAATATTTTTTATCATTTTATTTACAGTTTATTAGAAAAATAAATTTATTTTAATATTATTTCAAAAAATTTAATTAGCATTTTTTATTTATATAACATGTTAAAAAATATATATTTACAGTAAAAATTAGGAGGATGTACATTATACATCACAATATATAAAGCTTTAATGGTCATTTCACTTTTAAATAATGATTATTAACAACTATCATTTGGTATGAATCATGAATAGCTAAATGAAAAGGGCTCTTAAATGAGTTTAAGACGGATACTAATAGTAAAATTCTAAAATATTTTGTTATAGATAGTTGAAAATTTATAAGTACTTATTCAGCTTTAATCCCTAATTTGAACATAGGACAAGTAAAGTTTTTAGAGTAAAATATAATTTTAAATTTTAGAGGCAAAATGTATTTATTTATTTTTTTCTAATTTTTGAGGGATAAAATGTAAGTTATTTCGAGGGGGAGAAAAACAAAAATTTTGTCAAGTACTTATCGATCAGTAATTACTAAAAAGCCAAGAATAATAAGATTTACGTGGTAAGTGATAGATCAGAAATCTCACAAAAAAAAATATATATATATACAGAATAGTGTCATCTAAAAAGAAAATTTTACAAAATAAATTTTGAATTTATATTTTCATTAATTAATATGAGGTTTAGGGTTGATAATGTATGAAGCTTTGAGTTGGATCCGCACCAATTAATTGAAAAATTAAACAAGAAAAGTGAAATTAATGCTTAAAGATTTTAATTAAATTGGAACAATTGGTGTTCATTAATAGAAAAATTTGTCATTTATTACTGTTAATAAGAACGTTTAATTGAAAAATTATTTGTTTTACACAAATAAATAAATAAAAAATAAAAATAAACGGAAACATGTCAATAGAATAAAATTTTCAGGTTTGACAATCTTGTGTTGAGTTGGGCTTCACAATTTTTGTGATTAATGAAATGTGAAATCAAAGCCACTTATTTATAGTTTTAAATGTGAAATCAAAATTTTTTTATGTCGTATTTAAAGTAATTCGTATATAAAAACTCGATTCATTTATTATTCATGGTAAGAGTGCTTTATAGTTAACTCATGAGACTATTAGGAGATCACTCCTTGATTCAAATAATTAAATGTTAATGTTTTTATATATATATATAATTTATTAATTCATACCCGCAGCAATTTATTAGAATATATCTAAATTTTTAATGGTGAGAGTTTGAAAATTTTATAGTTCTAAATCGATGTAAATGAGTTGAGCCGAGTTCCAATTTGTCAGACTCGAAGCTCAGCTTGATAAGATTTAGCTCAACTCGAAAATCAACAAGTCTGAAAATTTTAGGCTCGAGTTCGACTCGAAAAATTTTGAATTCGGACTCGACTTAAGGTTTGAGACTCGAGTAAGTTTACAATAAATATTACATATATGTATATATAAAAGCTCGATGAGCTTTCAAGCTAAACATCATTAGGCACGAGCTCAACTCGTTTAGCAAATGAGTTAATTAGCTCAAGTTCGAGCTCGAACTCGAACTCGACTCGAGCTAAATTTTTTTGAACTTTTTTCAAGCCAAGCTCAAATGGTGCGTGAGTTGGCTCGGCCCATGTTGTAGATTTAAGGATGGAAGTGGGGTGGGTATCTGCGAAATTTAAGCTAGTGGTACCCATATCCATTTAAATTTTTACTATTTAAATCCGTTTAAAAATCCATTTAAGTACATCTACCCATCTAAATCCATTTAAATTTTTACTATTTGTACTCGTCTAAGACCTGTTTAAAGTATTTTTATACGGGTAGGGTACTCAAACTATCTAAATTCGAGCTTATTTAAAATATAATTTTTACTATAATGATTGGGATATCCATGAGTACCTAATGGCGGGTAACAGGTAACAGATATCCAAAGACCTATACCCGTACCCTACTTATATCCATTACGGATAATAATTTCACTATTTGTACTCATCCTAAACCCACTTATAACTACTCATATTTTTTTAAAACGGATCAGAGCGAGGTAGGTATCTAAAATATCCGCACTGCTTCCATCCCTACGTTGGTTGTCTGTTGGCACACGTTTTTCACGTGCATATGTTTTTCCCCCTTATTTTTTCATCTGAAATAGGTTAAGCATATAATTGGACCAAAGTTATACGAGCAAGCTAGCCCAAATTCTGGCCCTGGTTACTAGGCTTAATCCAATGGGCTTGAGAGAGAGAGAGAGAGAGACTGACTGAGGGTGTGTATTTATTTATTTATTTTTATTTTTATTTTTATTTTTTGGGTTTTTTCCAAGGACTCTAATATGGATTCATTCAACTCACAAGCAAGTAGTTGTACAGATATTATTAAGCCAAATTTTGTTAATAAAGCACAATATTTTAGATTATTAAGCGCAAATGATGATACTGATTAATAATTTAATATAATTAAATTTTAATTTTTTATTTGTTTTAATTTAATATATATCACTTAAAAACTTGATTTTGTTTGAATTAACCAAAAGTAATAGGTAACAATTTTTGACTTAAAAGCTACACTATTTGAAACAGCTTTTTTCACTTGGAAATTTATTCATCATTTAACTTCATCTACTAATTTTTTATTTTTTGTCAAAAATTATCACAGCTTTATTTATTTTAAGCCATTACAATATATATCTTCTAGTTAAAAAAATAGAATAATGCTATTTTTGGGTTTGAGACTATAATTTTTTTGAAATAAATATCCAGAGCTATGAGCTTAATAATTAGAATTGACTCGAGAATTTCTATCTTCAATAGATTTAAATTGGAAAACATTGATTTATATTTCAGTTTAATGTCTTCATAAAAGTTTTGGGATTCAAACTTCTCTAAATTAGAAAAAAAAAATCATAGAAAAGTATAAAAAAAAATCCAACTGGAATCAAGATCATGATTGATAAGAATTAGTGTTGGTACCAATTCAAAACCTTAAAGGCAAATGATCCCCTGTCTTAGTGGTAGGGGTGATGCCCTGAGACTTCTCCCATGTTCAATTCTTGACATTATAACAATTAATTTCAATTTTGAATTTCTTTTCTTCAGTGGATTTTATTGTCTTTAATGGGATTTGTAATAGATTGTACTGCTGCCGATAGTGAAGAGTATAAAAAAATTCATTTTATGTACTATCGAATGGCAAAATAATAATAAAAAAAAACCTTAAAGCTGTTGAATAATCGGTTTAGAGTTCAACCTCCAATTTATTGAATTAGAACTATAAAATGGTCTAAGTTCATCATTAGATTAGACACTAAATTAAATTGATTTATCTTTTTTTGGGTATATTCGACAGGGAGATTTAAATTAGTAAATTGAAATATAGTGTCCACTCCTCAGGTAATCTCACCTTACAAATAGGTTAAGACACTATTCATCAAATAGAAATTTTAATTTGTTCATTTAAATGAAAATTTACTTATTTTCATAAATAGAATCTATAATTCTATTTTTAAAAACATATGTAAAAATAATTGGGTAAATTGTGGAGATTGAGGTAAGTACTAGAGAGGTGGAAGATAAAAGAAAGGAGGTGTAAAAATTGAGTGCTGCATGTGCATGAATCCACTTCAATGGCCTATTTCAAACTAGGAAATGCTAGTCATACTCATGGGCCCAATGGGAAACAATTTAATTGGAAGAGATTATATTTCAAACAAAGTCTCCTACCATGAATTCACTGACCAATAAACAAATATATCACAAGAATGACCTTTGAAAATTTAACTATTTTATTTATTTTTTTAAATTATTGAATATTTTGATATATGGCCTAACCCCATTTTTTTTTTTTTTTTAAAGAACAATGTGACCTAACTTAACAAATTAAAGGTTACCCACCAATCAGATGGTAGTCTAGTTAATCTTTTTTAAAGTTGTAGTTTCAGTTCTTGATATAAATTGAAACTAGAACCATAATTCTGTTCTTATTAGATTTGGAATCAGAACTAGAACCAAATGACTTAAGAACTAGAATCAGAACTAAACCATAATTCTGTCTGATTTTGAATCGGTTCTTCGGTTTTGATTCATCGATTATGGTTCCAGTTCCAGTTCCCCCATTAAAAAATATATTGGTACCATATTTTTTTTTTAAATTAAAAGGATTATAATATTAAACTAAAATTGCAGTGATAATTAAAAAAATTTATCTATAATAATTATAATAATAACATAAAGTTAAAATTATATATAATTAACAATAATACTATTAATCATTAGTTATTACAAAGAAAATAATTATTATATTATTTGAATTAATTGATAATAATACATTAAAGTTAAAATTATATACTAATTAACAATAATACTTATTAATCATTAGTTATTACAAAGAAAATAATTATTATATTATTTGAATTAATTGTTATAACAACATTTAGAATATACAAATACACATGTTTTAGAAAAATTCATAAGGTATAAGATTATTTAAAGTATTTAAATATTATTAGTTTTAGAAATAGTTGTAATTATAGAATTATTTGATAATAATACAAACTTAAAACTATGACTAACAAGGCCTATAATTTAAAATACTATTTTAGAATATTAATATATTTAATAATTAAATTGCTATACTATATATTATATATATATATATATATATATATATAATACATCTACACAATTATACATATATATATAAAATACATCTACACAATTATACATATATATATAAAGTTATATAGGGAAAAATGCATGTCTAAATTGAAAATTGAGTTAAATTTACTGAATTGAAAATTGAGTTAAATTTAAGCTTTCTTCCTAAATATCAAAATTGCTAATTAATAACTAATACAGTGTACTTCAATCAATTACGGTTAGAGTCTTATACCATCTTAATATTTATTAGTAAATAGTAATACAATTTTAATTTAAATATAATAAATATTAAATAACAAATTTTCTAAAGTTTTCAATTAAATAATATATCCAAAAATTAAAATTATATATTTATTAATTGGTTCTTCAGTTCAGTTTTGGTTCGGTTCGGGTCTGGTGTAGTTCTAGTTTAGTTTCAGTTAGATTCTTAGTAAGAAACAGAACTAGAATTGAGACGTAAATTCTTTTGGTTCTGATTCCGGATCTTAAAAATGGTTCTTTTTCAATTTCGGTTCAGTTCGGCAATTCCATGTTTCGGTTCGAATCCCCCAAAAACCATGCACAGCCCTAATCTCACTTCTGTAAGGAATGGGAGGTTTCAAGTTTGAGTTCTCTCGACCACGATTGTTGTTATCAATTTGGTAAATTAAGGGGAGGGCTATTTTCTGTTGTGTAGCCCGCAATGTTATTTCAGACATAAAGATCTCCAATAAATAAAAAAAAGGTTTAACCAACATATCATTTTTTTTATAGTCAAATATTAATTTTATTGTTATATGATCAGTTATATAATAATAATAATAATAATAAATCCCTTACAACGGTCAATTATAAAAAATTATTAAACATCGTTTTCCAAAGAAGAAATAATGATATTTGAAATTTAATGAATTTTTTTGAAGAATTCTTAGATTTGAGCTTGTAAGAAGCGAGAATTATGAAAGATAAGGGTTGCTACAATGTCTTTGAGACTCTGCTGAAATTGGAAGCTTTCATTTCATGTGTCTTGTTGACCACAAGGACTCCTACAAAGTAGAGGGGTCCATAAAGCTTTATTTTTCTCTTTCACTGTATATATATATATCTTAAATGGATTGTTGATTTCAATTTGGTTATTGAATCTGACTCAAAAGGATGTTGTCTCCTGCCTAACATTTGTCCTTAATCATGCAACAATTCAACCTTTCTGCTTCTAATGTTTTATTTATTTTTAATTATATACTAATCAAGTATAAATAACATGCATGGTAAGTTTGAAGGGTTATATATATAAAAAGAAATCATGTAATGCCTAATGCTCAACAAAATATATGGTTGGTTTAATAGTAAGGTTCAATCTTCTTTTCAGTAACTTTTATTTTCTTTTAAAGAATATTTTTCTTTTTATTCTCATTGGATTCTTTAATTTAATTTGTTCTTTGTATTGACTATTGAGTTTCATTTTGGATGCAACTTGACTGGAATGGATTCTCTTTGGAAAAAAAAAAAAAAAATATGTTTTGAATGTATTATCTTTATAAGCATAGAATCTAAGGAATCTTCCTCTAAATTTGAAGTTATATCACCATTTTCATTAATCACTAGTTATTCAAACTCGTATCCCTTTAACAGGCTATATAATCTGATAAATTTTATTTACTCTGAAAGATTGTGAGCTGATCAATAAAGATTTTTTTATCTATATTCACTAGTGTTAAATATTAAAATATATTTTTGATTTAACTTGCTTAGTCTAAGTGGTAAGAATGATAGTTTTTCTTTCTTAATTATCAATACACGGGTTTACTTCCACTAGAGCAAATATCGATAATAATATTTTTAAATATATACATCAACTCAACATGTACATTGCTATCATCGATTACACATATTTTTTTTCATACATTTTTACACTTTGGATGCATCGCATTGTCCAAGCAAATCGATAAAATTAAAAGTATTAAGTAGTAGTAAATTCAAGATGTTTGATTCAACCCGATACGTATACTTCATATAATTTTATTAGGATTCTGCAGATTTTGATCTCAATATACACAAGAAATCATGATAAAAATAAAATCTTTAACCATATATTTGATTGGTTGATATCAAGTGAATGAGAAACCTCCCAATATACTTCCCAGCAAAATCTGTCCTGCTTGCTGTGCAAAACCATCAACAACACCTTTCATTACAATCTCCGTCAAATTTTTATTATGATTATTGTCATTCATGATATTATATGTTCTTGGAGGCTGCACGTATGGAGGAGAACCAACAAGAACAGGCATACCTGCTGCTGTATAATAATAATCCCCACCACCTATTTGATCATAAACTGGTAATGGAGACCTACTTGACGATCCTACTGTAAATGATGATGGCGATGGTGGATGACGATGAATCATCCTCGTATAGTGATGGCTTGTAAGGGGTAAAGGAGATCTACTTGGTGATCCTACTACAGATGATGCCAATGGAAGACGACGAATCTTACTTTTATACTGATGACTTGCAGGAGCTGCAGGTTGGTCTTGCTTTTGATTTTGGGTATTGGCAATAGCGCAGTTTAAATGAGCATCAAAACTACAAGAATTGCAGCGATAAAGCCAATGATTTGAGCCAAAGCCTCTACAAATATCGCATTGAAACACTTTTTTTGAATAAACAGGCGAAAAAATAAGCGAAAGAGTGTGATTATGAAGATGATGATTAATATTGATAGAAGAAGGCATATGAGCACACAGGGTATGCAAATCAAGCTCACAATCTTTACAATGGTAAGAAAAACCAGTGTCATGGCGCCCGCAAGCATTACACTTGAAAGCACCTTGAGGATAGGCTGGTGTTGAAATTAGGGTAAGTGTGTGATTTGGGTCTATCTCGTGTTTTTTGATTATTGGCATCTGAGCACAGACTTTGTGAAGGTAATAATTGCAAGAATTGCAATTGTATGTCCATCCAGAGATTGCAAGTTTACAAGATGAACAAATAGGTTTGTTTGGGATTTGGGAAGGGAAATTTTGTAGTTTTAGGGTATGTGGGTGGCTGAAATGTTGGAGAGTTGGATCAATATCTAGCCTGCCCATTTTTGGCTATCAGATTATCAGTACCAAGTGTAAATGAAAGTTGTTTAATTTGGCCTTTATTTGTATGCAGATGAAGTTAAGAGATAATACAAATACAAGCAGCTGCTAGCTAGGGTATGTTAATATCAAATTATTAAGCAAGATGTGAAAACATTTCTTGGAAGATAGTATCTTTTTCTACAAGATGATGTTCTTTTTGGTCTATTAGCGTTTTCTTTGTCATATATATATGATTTGCCTTGCCTTGTTAAAAAAAATCTTAAATTCTCCACCACATCTGTATATAAAAATTGAATCTTGCCGTCCCCAATAATCCAATTCTTGTTATTTTCGAGCTTGCAATTATATACTATCAGATGTCAACATCGATTTAAAATTAAGATAATGTTTGTTGTATGATTAAATTGTTGTAAGTTGTAACCAATCGCAGGCTCCTATTTGGATGATACGGTAAATATAATCTACTAAAATTTCTCTCTTATAATCGAAAGATTTATATAACTAGCAAATAAATGTAAGATCTTTATATAATAGCAAATAAATTTAAGGTTTCCTTTATTTCCATAAAATACCTTGTAGTTCCTTGAAAAATATTTTTCAAATGATTTATTTTCAGTTATTTAGTTGTAATATTAAAAATTAGTTAAAAATATTAAAGTTTTTATCTCATAAGTAATATTAAAAGATTAGTTAAAAAAATGATTTAAAGTTTTTATCCATAAGACCATAAAAAATATTAATAATAATAGAAATTTTATAATTTAAAAAATTTATTATTAAATATGAAATAATGCAATTTGAAAAGAATGCAATATATATATATATATAAATTATGAAAGCTACTGGTGGTCAGTAGTGGTGGCCGGTAGTGGTAGCAGGTGGTGGTGGTTGGTGTTAAATGGTGACTGGTGGTAGTGACTATGATGATTAATAAATTAAAAAATATAAATTTATAAGATTTATCAATATTTGGAAAATGTTTTACTCTTTAAAAAATGGAAAGTTGTTTTCCTTAAAAAATAACCTAATTTTTCTTTGACCAAGAAATATATTTTCTGTTGACTTATTTTTCTGAGCGCCCCAATCAATGAAAATTTATAAAAAATATTTTCCTGCAAATTATTTTATGGAAACAAATAGAGTCTAAATTTCTTCATACAGTCCTTTTTGGACTATTTAAACTCTTTGTTTTTTTAAATAAGATTGCGTCTAAATTTTCGTGCATTTTTATTTTAGTGGCCAACTTAAAATTCATATTTAATAGCTAGTACCACTAAGTAAATTTACCATTAAAAATCATATTTAAAAAGTTGTGCTGCACGCATTATTTAGAAGGATTATTTGAAATATTTTTAGAGATTACATTACACAAGCATTCACAATATTGTACACAAAAAAATCTCTATATCCACAGTTTGTGCAATCAACTTTTTTTTTTTTTTTGAATATTTTGATAGAGAGGAGATTCAAATCTTGATCTTTTACCAGATAGTATATGCACTTACCACTGAGCTATGCTTTAATGTGCAATCAACTTTATTTTTATTTGACATGGAATAACAAGATTTCACTGATTATTATACTAATCTTGATAAGATATATTAAATTTCTGGCATATATATCTTATGGATTGTATACAAATATGAGTTTAAAGTATAAATAAAAGTAGCTAATTGCGAAATACTATTCTGATCCAAATTGAACTTCAAATTAATCCTCATCAATAATTAGCAGCAATTTTCATAGACCTCCATTCTTGAAGCTTTTAGAACATTGCTGATACCTTGAATGATAGCAACAACTAATAAGCTTCCGCCAACGTGCCTGCATGGAAGAAAAGGATTGTGTATGAGATTAAAATTGCCAGCTCAAAATTCGATTAAGTTTTGAATAATTGGAAATCTATTTTGAATTTTGTTATATATATATATGTGTGTGTGTGTGTGTGTTTGAACAACTTTCTGTGTTTTAAAATTGAATTCTCCATAACAATCTAGTTGATAGGTTAGATGTTTTTAATCACAATGTTAATAAAATTTGATATCATGAGATGGATTGCCTTTTTTTTCTAACATCAAGAATTAATGATCAAGAGATATAATGCGAAATCTATTTATTAATTAAGTCAATCCTCATAATTGTTAAAACTACAAATTTGATTAATGAACTTACCGAATTCGATTTGATACTCTGATCTTTAACCTGCAGTTTCATATTCTCATGATTTTGCCCTAATTTCTCATCTGCAAGCAATGATACTTCATTAAGCCAATTCTCTGGAGCCTTGTAGAGGGGATTGAAAACTGGCTTATTACGTTGTTCTTGGAATTTCCCTGGAATCTTTTCTTCAGTTTCAGGAACAACTTTTTCAATGTCCTCCTTTGCTTGACTTTTCTGATCTTGACTTGAACTGGACTTCATCAAATCTATTGAAAAACACATGTCACTGAATTGATAACTTGCAATAGTACTCAACTCTTCAGAAACCGGAGTCGATTGATCTATACTTGCTAAATTACTAGACATGTGTACATTTCCATTCTCAATTTTCTTTCGAGGGCTTCGAAGTCTCTCATTCCATCCGGTCAATGCAGTGCCGGCAACTTCTTGACGGCCATTTCCATCTTGATGGTTTGTAACTCCTTGTACTACTAATTGCATTAGCTCATTACTCTCAACTCCATAATCAATTAATCTATTCATCTCCATTATCGAAGCAGACGAGTATATAATTTGCCTAGTTAAAGTATTAGCTAATGGAACATGTTTAGTTCTTTGGTTAGAAATAGCACAAGAAATATGGGCATCAAATTCGCAAAATCTACATCTATACAACCACCCTAAAGAACTTGGTTTATCACACAAGTCACAAGAAAAAGCATATGGAGGTACAAATTCTATTTTGAGTGTGTGAGGATGGGATAAGATTGCAACGGACAGGGGTAAGGCCGAGCATAGGATATGATAGTAAACGCTACACTCAGCACAATTATAGTAAAAGCCAGAGACATTTTCTCCGCAAGCCATACATTTACAGGTACTAGATGGAAGTGAAACTAATAAGGTTAGATAGTGATTTGGATGTGAAGCGTGTCTAGTTTTTCTAGGCATGCTTGAACACACCCGGTGCAGCGAAAATGAGCAAGTTTTACAGTCATAGTAGTCCTTACCGGAAAATATTGCAAGATTGCATCCATTGCAGGTAACTTTTCCAGTAGGAGATGGACAGATACTACTTTCTAATGGGTGTTGATGACTAAAATGGTGAAGAGTTTGTTTCTCCTCTTCTAGATCCATCTCTTCTTACACATTCTTGTTATAGGGAACTTTAAAGATTACTCATATGGCACTAATTAACAATTATATATGTTTTAACAATTAAAATAATTTTCAATATACTGTCCAATTCTTGAGATGTCCGTTACTACAAGAATTGGTCATTGATTCTTTGCCGTATCAGAAATAGTATTTAATAACAAAAAAGGGCTAAATTTTGAGAGGCATTCAAAATCAAGACAGAAAGATTGGCTTGGACAATTCTGGGTTGCACTGCCGGCATGGATATATGCATCCCATTATTTGCATTGGAAAATGAGGACAAGGAAGAAAATTTGTCAATTTAGTCTAGCATGGTAATTAGAGAATACTCTGATTTTTACTGTCATCCAAATTTTGGTCGCCCTCTTTTCTGAAAAACAGTATACATAAATATATATCCCATCAACTTGCGGTATACACAGGTTTTATATTGTTTTCCTTTTCTAATTATTCATTTTTCTATTGTTTTTCGATCCACACTTTTCAATGGAGCTTTAGAACATTAGAACTAGTATATAAATAATATGAAAAATTTTCAGTGTGGGATTTCGCTATACAATGCTCTGGAATTTTCCAGTAGGGTTATTTTTCGAGACATAGAGAGAGCTTGGTTCCTAGAGAGGAATATACTTTTCCAGATCAAATATTCACAACATTTGGGCTTAAAATCTGATTCAGATAGGAAATATTACTTTTTAACATCACAAGTAAACTAAGGATAGCTTTGGGAATATCACTATATTTCATTCATTTCTCAAAACTAACAAATCAATTGCATGCGAAAAACTGAAAACTTAACTTAATTCTGATACAATAAACTGAAACAACACCTATATAAATACATAAAATTTAAACGTTTTTTCAAGAATTTCCGATGTATCAGAAAATCAACATTATTAATTCCAAGAGGTCTAATCTGAAGTGCTGGACCCAACATCACCAAGGCCATTAAAAATTCCCTGAACAATCTCCTGTCCTATCCCCTCTCCAATCCCAGAAAAAACTCTTGTTGCCAGAAGTCCAGCTATTCCGGTCCCCAAGGCTTCTTCACCACCATTGGAGCCTAGTAGATTAGGATTCCCTGAACTTAAAACATAACTTCCTGTGTTTGAAAGGTTTGAGTGCGGAGCTGGAGGGCTAGGATTAGCATAAAAGGTGCTAGTCTCTGTCTCACCTTTTGTGTTTGAAAAGTCTGGATACGGAGCTGAAGGACTAAGATTAACATAACTTGTCCTGGTCTCGACTGGTGGAGCGCTACCTTCGGAGGTTAAATTTTTCAGATTTATAGGTGTATAGACACAATTAATGTGAACGTCAAATTCACAATCATTACATCTATAAAGCCAATGATCAAAACCAGGGTTTCCACACACATCGCAGCGAAAACCTTTGATGTCTTCATATGGACAAGAGAACTCAAGTTTTAATAGATGTTGATGTGAAGCACAAAATTCTTGCAGTGGCATTTTTAAGCAAAAGGTATGATAATTGCAAGAGCAGACTCTGCAATTGTAGCAGAAACCTGAACCTTGAAATCCACAGGCTTTGCAATTAAACAATGGCAAGAGCAGAAGATTCAAGTCGTGAGTATATTCTGCTGGGTGTTGGTATACTCTTGCCATATTGTAACAAACGCGGTGGAGAGAATAAGAGCAAGCTTTGCATGTGTAAAATTCTTTGCCTGCTGAAATATTCTTCTGGCAACCTGAACATGTTATAGTGTTTGTTTCGCGTGAAATGGTTAGTTCTAATGGGTGTTCATGAGTGAAATGAATATATATAGGCTTTGCTTCTTCTTCTGTTTCTTCTTCATTTCTAATCTTACCCATGTTCACTTTCTTGCTGTCTTTGGTTCTAGTTCTTGGTGCAGGATATGATCATTTGAAAGAAAATTTGGATTTAAAGGGAATGAGGGAGCGAAGGACAAATGAAAAAACAAAGCTAGATTATAAAAATCTTGATTTCACACAATTGAAGTAAACCTCAAATAATTTTTTGAGTTTTCATCATCAGAAAATTGTATTTAGGCATATTTCAATGATTATCTTATTTTATGATTAATTGGCAGTATTTTATAATAATTAATGTTGCTTTCAGAAGAAATTGCCTAGATTTCGCCTCATATAGATGTTGCCTGTTAGACTCAAATACGCAAGCTAGTACCAAAAATTCCACCTCAGCCAATGCCAACTCAGCCTTAACTAATTGCACAACAGAAGCTGCCAACTCAGTTTAAGTTTGTTAGTAGATTGTTAGCAGCAGTTTCTTTTGTTTTTAGATTAGCTGGCATTAGATATCTTTATTTGTTATTTATATAATCAATGGTACTTGTACAGATCTCAATTTTCCTATTTTCGTTTGCCTTCTTTTGTTCTCTGCAACACTGCCAGGAAGAAAGTTTAATTTTTGCTCATTATTTACTATATAATTCTTTATATTTGAGTCTCACAGGTCACAGTCCCTTCTATTGTACGGTTATTTGAGGGTTTTAAATTTAATTTCGAGGTAATTAACAAAACTTCTCCTTATATATACTATTAAAAGCATCTATCTGTACTGCTGTTAAATTGAAGGACTGCAAAAGACTTAAACAATCCGAAGTAGGGTGTTTTGGTGGCAAAATTTATCTTTAAAACAAAAAAATAAATTCCGGAAAAAAGCTTACCTCATTGAACTAATGGCGGCAGTCTTAAGTGCACAAACGTAGGGTGTGCAGTTGGACAATTGGATTTCAAACTGTAAAGAACAAGAACAGAACTTTGACAATTATTATAGTCATTGAACAATATGCAAGTTTGGTCTTTGGATTAGTAGCACGATGTGCAAGCATTTGTTTTATATTTTAGATCCTGACATTCTCTTCCTGTTCAAGAACATTCAATTTACCCAAAAAAAGATGCCAGAATTTAGTCACTATATGAATGGGGAAAAAAATATTATATCATGGTCAAAACAGAAAAAAAAAAAAAAAAAATTTACCCAAAAAAGATGCCAAATTTAGTCACTAATATGAATGGGGAAAAAAATTAATTATATCATGGTCATAAAAAAAACAAAAGAAATAAAAAAAAAAAAAAAAAAAAAAAAAGACAAACAGAGAATCCATGATTTTCTTGTATTATTCATTGGTAGCAATGTATTAAATTAAACGTAGAAGAAGTAGAAAAAAAAAAAAAAAAAAAGACAACAGAAATCATGATTTTCTTGTATTATTCATTTGGTACAATTGTATATAAATTAACGTAGAAGAAGGTAGAGTGGAAGGAGAGAGACAGAGCGTATAAGATTGCGCTTTATTTTGTAAAATTTTGAGAAGCAAGGACTGCAATTTCTGCTTTGGTTTTAGCTAGTTGATTCTCTGCAATGTGAATTTGTTGATGCAGTAGAGAGATTATTCCAACACAGCCATAAACAGGGTCTTCAATTCTGTATTTTGCCTCGTAATATAAGGACTCTGCAGCTGAAGCTCGTAAATGATCCGGCACTTGCTTTATCAACCGAAAAATAAAAAGTTAAAAAGCACTCAACCATGTAAGAAAATTTCCAAGAAAACAAAAAAAAAACTTTGAGTGAGAATTTAAAACTCGGGGCTTCAATATTATAAGGCAAACACTCAGATGATCAAACTACTAATTTCACTATGCACATATAAGATTATGAGCACCTATATTATATTACTACATTTTAAATTAATTGATCTTTTTGCTCACTTTCAAGGATGGTAAAGAGTAAGTTTCAAGTTTAAATTCTCTTGTTCGTTGAACATGGAAAAATTCGAGTAAAACTAGATGAAGACAGTATCTCAGACATATAAGAATTATTTGTCAAGTATATATAGCTTCACTAATTAATCTTTTACTACCACTTAATTAATATATTTAGAAGTAATTAACTATAATTCTTTTGACATTTTTGGTTACCTGAAGAATTTTTGCAACATTGCTGGCACCGTAGATTTTGTGAACATAGGCAAATCTTTGAGGATTATTGGAAGGAAAATAAGGAGAAAAAATGCAATCTAAGGAGCATCTTCTTCTCAAATACTTGCAGGCAGCACAACGACCACAACTCATTCTTAAAAGTATCTATTGAAAATCTAAATATATATATATAAATTCCTCTCTTTTTAATTTGTTCTTGATGAGAGAAAAAAATAACAATATCCAATGGAGATTTTCAGTATCTTTAACAACCACAGATCAGAATGTTAATATAGGAGATAGAAGAGATTACATTGTGTTGGAACAAATTAAGTAGCTGTTAGATTTTCCAACGGCTACTTTTTCAAAAGTGAGTTTTGAGAAGGAAAGTTTCTCAAATTGGAATTTGAATCAAAATCTTGGAGATAATTGAGGTTGGACTGATTGTATTTTGGGGATAATCAAAATCAATTAGCCCATTTCATATATATTTTCACTCCAACTTGTGCTTTATGGACGACAAATTTTTTTGTCAGAGCTCATTTCTATGCATGAAAAATAACAAAGTTGAATTCATTAAATTGAAATTTTATAAAATTTAGCTTCGCAATAGAAAATTAAAAGAAAATTTATAAGTTTCCTATAGATATATCGATTCAATCAGAAAAAGAAAAATATAAAATTACAATTTTGTAAATATAATTTATTAAAAAGTATCATAAATGGTTTAGAGCATATATATTTTATTTATTTTGAAGTGACAATTTCATATTTTTAAAATTTTGATGCGAGTGGATTGAAAGCTACATGATTAATTAATTATGTAATGGTCCATACCATACTCAACTTATATATTCTTCCTGAGCTTTCACCATCATAATATATCAGAATGACATATTCAATGTGATCTCACTAGCTCGACCAATAAATATATAATTAGAAAGTAGATAGCTTGCTTCTTTTACCCAACATTTCATGATAAAAAAAAAAGAATAATGAAAAGAATATAAATATAAATATTGATAGTAAATATTTATAAAAAGAATTATTTTTAAACCTAAAAATATAAAATAATTTATTAAAAATATTAAAATAAAAAATTTTATATTGAAATCCCCAGTTATTTGAACTTATTTTTCAAACCAATTAGACTTTCACTAATCTCTACGAACCTTCTCGTTTAACAGCCAATTTCCATATTTGACTATAAATGTACAATACCGTCGTGTGCTCTGTATGCAAAATTTCGCAGCAAATATGCTTCAGGTTTGGTTTCTTTCTTCCGCGAGTTTTGCATTGTACGGACACAGAATAAAACCCAAATAAACAAGACTTTGAAAATAAATTTATTTATTTATTTTTTCAGATACCAAAAGAAGGGACGAAACCCAAAAATAAACAAGACTTTCAAATTAAATATATTCGACTTACATTTATAATATTCAAGGTATGGAATTCCTATCCCAACTTGACCAAATCTTATTTTTCATGCTTGAATTCAATTTCACACTCCAACTCAATTTGATTCCATTGTATTATTATTAGGAATATTCAATCAAATTTTTCTTTATTAATAGTAACATATAATGCTTTGCGTTAACTAAGAATAATTAATTATTTAATTAAAAAATTTAATATTATAAAGTTATGATTTTTTTTTTTGAGAAGTAAAGTTATGAGTTAAAAAAAAAGATAATCGAATGACTATGTTTAGTGAGTAATAATTGTTTAGTGAGTAATAATGAGACATAATATAATAAAATTAATTAAATATATTTTACTTACTCTCCAAAAATGCATTTTTATTATATTACATTATTATCTATCATTAACCTATGTATTTAGGGTTGTTACTGTCCAGAAATGCATGTTTTTTATTTTTTATTTTTTATAATTTTCTAAACTCTAACTAATCAAACTCTGATTATGCAAAATTGAGGTTTAGCCATTCAGAGTCATTATATTTTGGTCAAAAAAAGAATCTCTGACAAATACCGGAGGAGGAACATTGAACAAATGCACCAAATAACAAAAAGCACTAAGCCAAACACAACCTTATTAGCAGATGTAGCTATCACTGCCACCCACCAAGAAAATGTCCTTATTACTAATTTACCCAAATATATATAAACATAAATGTAATCTGAATCGGGAAGACTTTGATTATTCAAATTCATGACAATCTATATAGATAAGATATATATATTTTTTTTGAATTAAATCAATTCTTCACTGTTCCTGCTTTTGTCCTACTAGAGTTAACTGTTGACAAGTCAAATGATGTGCCCAATGAAGTTTCCTTTTTAATACAAACAAGAAGAAAAGTACAACAATGAGAAGGAAAAAAAAACACATTTAATTCAATATAATTAATGTCATTTTCGTTGACTGGTGCAATTGAAATAAATTTCTGAGAATATAGGTTTTTGAATAAACAATAAATAAAATAAAAATAGATTCTTAATAGTAATTAATAGGGATCTATATATGTAATGAGAAAATAAATTAATTAAAAGAAGATCCCATATCCAATTGTTATTTAGACCTTTTCAGTTCTTAAACTGTTATTTATTAAACAATTAAGTCTAATCAGTTAGTAATTATGAGATATTATATATGTAATGATGCACAAAATATAAGAATGGCCACCAAAAATCAAGACTTCAAAATAATTGCAAGTGTGATAACAAACTAATTAATTAATGCAAATATATTACTATCTATGATTGTTATTATTGCTTTTAATTAAGATTAATTCTTTTATTCTTGTATAAAATAATCTTATCTATGACATCCATCTTAATGGTCAACAAAAATTTTTTGCATATTGTCACAATTGCCACAAATGCAATATTCCGATTCTAGAAGGAAAATAAAAAATAAAATAAAAAGAAGAGAAAATGCAAGGAAACTCATTAACTTGACCTTAACATATTTTAAATTTCTGTCGTTCTGTGACAATTTTAAACCCGTATCACCTTCTCCTTCTCATACACAACCTACCAAAAATTCCTTTCAGAAACCATTTTCAATTCTGATCACTTTGTTCTGGTTTTGCAAGAAATGCAATTTTCTTTTTCGTTCAAGTCCTTAACCTTAACAACCCTTTTATGGGTTGCTCTTATTACTAAAATTGATTGCTTCAATTTTAACTTCACGAATTTCAATGACGAAGATTCTGCTAGAAACCAACTTATTCTGAGTAGCAACTCAACTATCTTTCTTGGTGCAATCCAAGTTACACCAGATGCTAATGGAGCCCCCAAGACTCATCGATCAGGGCGAACCCTATATAAGAAGCCATTCAAACTTTGGAGTAACGGGTTTAATGCATCTTTCAATACCACCTTTGTACTTAATATTCAAAGCCAAACAAATCCAGGAGGAGAGTGGAGTAACGGGTTTAATGCATCTTTCAATACCACCTTTGTACTTAATATTCAAAGCCAAACAAATCCAGGAGGAGAGGGCTTAGCTTTTATATTAACAGCTAATTCTGTTGTTAATGATATCAGCGATGATGGTCAGTGGCTTGGTATCATTAAAAATGAAATGAACGGTTCCTCTTCAGCCCAAACAGTTGCTATAGAGTTTGATACAAGAAAAAGCTACCCAGAAGATCTTGATGATAATCATGTTGGCTTAGATATTAATAGTATCAATTCTCGAGTTCAGTTCCCCTTAACTAAAGTTGGTCTTAATCTCACCAGCGGTAAAGATAACAATGTTCGTGTTGAATATAATGGTCAACTTAAGGAGTTGACTGTTTTCGTCGGGAACGTGATAAAGCCAGTATTATCTGAGAATCTTGATCTCTCAGTCTATCTTCCTGAGAAGATTTTCGTGGGATTTTCGGGCTCAACGAGTAATTATACTCAGTTAAACTGTGTAAAGTCATGGACGTTTAATGGCACTGAAAAAGGAGATGAACACGAGCCTTTTTGGGTTTGGATTTTGGTTCCACTCCTTGGAGTGTTGTTATTGTTTGGGATTGGATATTTCATTTACTGGAAAAGAAAATCAGAAAGAGAAAAATTGGCAGATGCAGATGCTTATCCTATAAGCATAGAAGAAGCAATACAAGGCTCTTCCACAGCTCCAAGAAAGCTCAAAATGAAAGAATTAAGCAAAGCAACAAACGGCTTCAGTTCCAAGAACAAGCTTGGAAAAGGCGGATTTGGGACAGTGTATAAGGGAATGATCAAAGATAAAGAAATTGCAGTAAAGAAAGTTTCAAAGAAATCAACACAAGGAAAAACAGAGTTCATAGCTGAAGTCACCACAATTGGTAATCTACGTCATAAAAATCTCGTTAAACTAATCGGTTGGTGCTACGAGAGGCGTGAATATCTTCTCGTCTATGAGTACTTGCCGAATGGTAGTTTAGAGAAGTACATATTTGATGAGTCGGCATCAGATGTTCTAGGATGGAAAACAAGGTTGTCCGTAATAACAGGGACAGCGCAGGCATTAGACTACTTGCATAATGGCTGTGAAGAGAAAATACTCCATCGCGACATCAAATCCAGCAACATAATGTTAGATTCAGAATTCAATCCGAAGCTAGGGGATTTTGGACTTGCTCGAACAATTAAACTCAGTGATCAAACTCATCACACTACAAAAGAAGTAGCTGGAACGCCTGGCTATATGGCTCCGGAGAGTATACTCACCAGTAGGTTTACAGTGGAAACAGATGTTTATGCCTTCGGTGTAGTTATATTGGAAGTTGCATGTGGAAGAAAGCCAGGAAGTCCGAACCATCAAGACGATTATATTGGTCACATAGTAAATTGGGTATGGGACTTGCATAAAAAAGGAAGGATAATTGATGCTGCAGATAAAAGACTGCAGGGAGATTTTGAAGATGGAGAAATGGAGATTTTTCTTACTCTGGGTTTAGCTTGTTGTCATCCAAATCCAAACAAGAGGCCTAATATGAAAATTGTTTTGCAGGTTTTGAAAGGGGAAGCCCTACCTCCTCCTGTGCCTAATGAAAGGCCTGTTTTTATGTGGCCTCCATTGCCTCCTTCTTTTAAAGAATTGGATATCTCTCTTGGCCAATTCACTCCATTTTCAGACATTCATGGAAGATGATTAAGTGACTGTTCTTTTATTATTGTTATTATTATCAGGAGAACATTATAGGACGCTTTGTAAGGATATAATATAGAAATAATGTCCTTATTTTCTCTTTTATTATTATTATTATTTTTTTTTTACTTCAATTGTGATTTTAGCGTACTGTAATATTTATCGTCTGGGGGTTTCCCTCTATGCATGTAAATGCCGTAATTTAAATTTTCTTGAATTTTTTTCTATAATTAGTTTGGAGAACTGAGAAAATCTTGATATTTCTTATTTTATTTTAAGAGGAAAAGAAAACATTTTACGACTGCCACTGAAGATTGAATATCAGCAGTTATAAGATATACAGATTGAATATCAGCAGTTATAAGATATACAGTAATCAATTCCTAAATGTTATTGAATTCATTCTTATTAATGCTTTTTTGTGTGGGGAATATACGCTTTTTTTTTTTTTTTTTTTTTTTTTTTAAGAATGGAGTATAGCTTTTCATCTAAATACCAAGAATCAACAAATTAACCTAATCTTTTTCAGTAAACAAATTAAAAAAAGGAAAACCATGAATATTTGTCAAATATAGCTTGTATGTACATGGTTGAAAATCCAATTAATTGGAGATAATTAAGGTTGTAATTTGAAGATAATCCAAACCAATTAGGCCCATTTCATATGTTTTTTAACTCCAATTCGTAATTGTTTGTAGTTTTACAGACAACATACAGATAATTCTTAGAAATTATCTGATTTCTGAACATGAGAAATGAGGTAATTGTCCATATGCTTCTTCAAACTAATTTATTAACGGCCATTTCCATATAAATTGACTATATAATATGTATTAATTATATGTTACTGCGTCAAATGAAGTTGAGAAACCCCAACTAATATTCTTCTGGTTTGCTGCACTTTTCCACAACAGTTTCTAGATTGTACCGACACCGAATGAAACCCGAAGAGCCAACCGGAAAACTGATGTTAGACTTGACTATAGAAATTCAAGGTATTCTTATTCCAACTTGACCAATTTTTTTCTCATCATGCTCGAATTCAATTTGATAGAGAAGCTAAAATGCTTGAATTCAATTCCATATTCTATTGATCAATTTTATTAATATTAAAGTTCAACCCAAATTTATTTATTAACCTCAACTTATTTAGGCTTTAGAGTCTAAGCTCTCTTGTAAATTAGTACGTCTTAATTTATAAATCTTGCTTCCTTGTATAGTTATAGTTAGGACTTGGATTAAGAAGCTAGATTTGTCAATATTTGCCTTTGTAAAGCTTCCTTTTATTAGGATTCTTAGTGAAATAGGATTTGTACCAAGGTTGAGCAAATGATCGATTCTATTCCAAACCAAAATGGCTCAAACTGAACCAGTTTATTTCAAGTAGTTTAATTGGTTTTATCTAAATCAAGCCGGTTTTGCACCTAATCGGTTGATTTTTATAAAATCAAATTGAAAATTGAAGAGAATTAATTTAGTTTAAACCGTCTTAGCTAACAATGACGATCATTTTTTTTTATAAGCAGGCTGATGTCCAAATCTAATCAGAATGGTTTGATTTTCATTTTAATTTCGTCGATTGTTTTTTTCTCGCCCTGTATATTATGTTTATTAGAAGATGTAACAATCACTGCCACCCACCAAGAAATGTCCTTATTAATTTATCTTCGCAGAAAATATTTATACTTTGAATCAAGAAGAAATGTCCTTACTAATTTATCTTCCCAGATGTGATGAAGTTTCCTTGTTAATACTAACAAGAAGACAAAGAAAAACAGTGGGAAAAAAAGAAAGAAAAGAACATGTGAATTTAATTTAATTAATATCAATTTGGTTGACTGGTGGAATATTAAAATACAATTTATAATAACAAATATAAGTTTTTGAATAATCAATGTGGAAGCTGAATTCACCACTCTTCTCCCGCCACGAACTCTTTTTTCACGTCATACATGCTGACTGCTAAGCATATGAATATTTTATTTTATTTTATTTTTATTAGTTCATTTCAGATTTTTTTTGAAAAACCTAATTCCTAATTCCTATAATAAAGCATTATGTTGTTTTTATATGATGTTTGATTATTTAATTAAAAAAATTAGAATGTATACGTATAATTTATTTTAAAAATTATTGGCATAACCAAAATCATCCCAATCAGCACATTTATTGAACTCTCCATAATGAATAAATAATGATAATGAATTTTTAGTGGGAGTTATTGCTAATTATTAATTAATGACTTCTTCTTGTATAAATTAATCTTGTCTATAGAAATCGATCATAATAGTCAACAAAAATTTTGTGCATATCCCACAAATGCAATATTTTAAGCCTTGAAGGAAAATAAAAATATAATAAAAAGAAGAGCAAAATGTAAAGAAACTCGTCTTGAATAAGACTTGTCAACACATATGAAGCCCACCATACATCCAGTAAGTAAATGACAAATTCAACCTTTAGTCACCTTCTCCTTCTTCTTCCTCGTACACAAGCTACCAAATATTCCTATCAAAAGCCATTTTCTTCTTGTTTTGCAAGAAATGGAATTTTCTTTCACGTTCAAGTTCTTAATCCTAAAATCCTTTTTATGGGTTGCACTTATTACAAAAATTGATTGCTTCAATTTTAACTACCGAAATTTCGATGACCAAGATTCCGCTAGAAACCGGCTTATTCTGAGTAGTGTCTCAAATCTCTTTCTTGGTGAACTCCATATTACACCAGATGCTGAAGGAGCCACCATGACTCATAGATCGGGGCGAATCCTATATAAAGAGCCATTCATACTTTCGAGTAACGGGTTTAATGTATCTTTCAAGACCACCTTTTTACTTAATATTAGAAGCGGCACAAATCCAGGAGGAGAAGGTTTAGCTTTTATATTTAACAGCTAATCCTACTGTTGATAATATTGGCAGTGATAGTCAATGGCTCGGTATCGTAAATCCGGAAATGAACGGTTCCTCTTTAGCCCAAATAGTGGCTATAGAGTTTGATACAAGAAAAAGCTACCCAGAAGATCTTGATGATAACCATGTTGGCTTAGATATTAACAGTATCAATTCTCGCGTTCAGTACTCCTTAACAAGAGTTGGTGTTAATCTTACCAGCGGCTTTGGTACCATTGTTCATGTTGAATATAATGTTCAACTCAAGACGTTGAAAGTTTTCGTCCTAGACATTTCGAACAATCCATTATTAGCTGATGTTATGCTTGGCTCATTCTTCGGAGCAGGATCATCTGAGGATCTTTATTTCTCATCCTCCCATCCATTAATATCTGAGAATCTTGATCTCTCAGTCTATCTTCCTGAGAAGATTTACGTGGGATTTTCAGGTTCAACAAGCAATTACACTCAGCTAAACTGTGTAAGAGCATGGAGGTTTAGTGGCACTGAAAAAAGGAAGAAAAGCGAACCTCTTTGGATTTGGATTTTGGCCCCACTTGCAGTGGTGTTGGGGATTGGATCTTTCATTTACTGGAAAAGAAAATCAGAAAAACAAAAATTGGAAGATGCACATCAGATAAGCATAGAAGAAGCAATACAAAGCTCTTCCACAGAATACAAAGCTCTTCCACAGTTCCAAGAAAGTTCAAGTTGAAAGAATTAACTAAAGCAACAAACAACTTCAGTGCCAAGAACAAGCTTGGAAAAGGCGGATTTGGGACAGTGTATAAAGGAATGATCAAGATAAAGAAATTGCAGTAAAGAAAGTTTCCGAGAAATCAACACAAGGCAAAACAGAATTCACAGCTGAAGTTACAACAATTGGTAATCTTCGTTATAAGAATCTTGTTAAACTAATCTTGTTAAACTAATCGGTTGGTGCTGCGAAAAGGCGCGAATATCTTCTTGTTTACGAGTACTTACCAAATGGTAGTTTAGAGAAGTACATATTTGATGAGTCGGCATCAGATGTACTAGGATGGAAAACAAGATTGTCTGTAATAACTGATAATTAATGAAATAAACAATGTTTTTCTTGATATTTTCTTCTGCAGATTACAAGCCTATTTATATACATGAATTACATCTATACAAGATAAGTGTGGCTAAAAGGAAATACAATCAAAGTTTCTGAATGTAAGGAGAGATTTACTTATTAGCTGTGATTTAATTTGATTGAATATTAGTCTCCTTATTTTGCTCACTTTGACATCCCCCCTCAAATTGATGGTGATTCTCAGCAAGCATCAATTTGCTCACAAGATAGGAATGTCTCGTAGATGACATGGGTTTAGTAAATAAATTAGCATGTTGGTTATGTGAAGATACATGTGTGAGATGAATGAACTTGTCACGAACCAAATCACGAATGTAGTGGCAATCAACTTCAATATGTTTAGTTCGCTCATGGTGTTCAATATGTTTAGTTCGCTCATGGTGAATGGATTTGTAGCAATGCTGATAGCACTTGTGTTATCTCCAAAAAGCGTGATAGGTTGGGTGCAAGTTATTCCGAAATCTTTGAGAAGCCGTTGGAGCCATACAATTTCAGAGCTAACAGATGACATAGATCGATAATCCGCCTCAATAGAAGATTTTGAGACACGTTCTTGCTTTTTACATTTCCAAGAGATAGGAGAATTACCCAAGAACACACACCATCCTGTCGTAGAGCATCGGGTATCAACACAGCCAGCATAATCTACATCAGCATATGCCATAAGTGTGAGAGAGGACTGAGACAGAAAGAACAATCCACGACCACAAGTTCCTTTTAAATATCGCAAAATGCGATGAAGAGCTGAAAGATGAGGCTTTCTTGGTTGAGAGACAAACTGACTGACAACTTGCACAGCAAAGGAAATATCCGGACACGTAGTAGTAAGATAAATAAGACTCCCAACTAAACGGCGATACAAGGTAGGATCGAATAGAGATGTGCCTTCACCACTTTTTAACTTTAAATTTTGTTCCATTGGAGTAGAGCAAATCTTTTGATCCGTGAGATGGGCCAACTGGAGAAGGTCTTCAATATATTTTCTTTGAGTTAGAAAAATTCCATCAGATGTATATGAAACTTCTAAGCCAAGAAAGTAGGTAAGAGTGCCAAGATCTTTCATAGAAAATGAACTTGTAAGAAATTGTTTGAACTCTATAATACCTTGAGAATCACTACCAGTAATGACCATATCATCGACATAGAGAAGTAAAATAATAATTCCATCATTAGATTGACGAGTAAGTGAGTGATCATTAGATCTCTGTAGAAAACTAGCGGA